AATACCCTTAATCAGATCTTTTATGCTTCTGAAATTATTGTGGGGTTGTCTGCAGGATTATTTTTTCCTTTTTCCTTTAAGGGGTTCAGTCACCTTATACAGAATATGTATATTCAGCACTGCATTAACACAAGCATTTCCTCTCCTCTTTTATGTTCCCAGAAAAAAAAAAGTCTTCAGAATAGCCCACTCTCACCACCTTTTTCAGGTTAGGAGGGTAATCAGTTACTGGAAGCCCTTTGTAGCTAATGATTATGTCATTTATTTTAGTGGCCATTGTAGGGGTACTGATAAATGAGGCACTCCTGAAGGTAAGGTTATTCTGAACACATCTTCCTGCCTGACACTTACTATCTTTGTTGAAAAGAAGCCAAGTAGACCTACTGCAAGTTGAATTACATATTGTCTAGGTACTAGGATATACTTCAATAAAAGTGTAAAAACTACATTGGTAATATGCTTTTGAAAAAAATAATAAAAAATGGTAATTATCTTCTGTTCAGGAAAACCAAGAAAAAAGTTTAGTCTAACTTGTCTTTTATTACTTTATGCAGAAGTGGTTTTAAAGCCTTCTTAGAAACTGTATTTAGAACCTGCAAAGTCATGGGAAGTAGTTCAATAGGTTTCTTTGATATAAAAACATTTAAGGTAGTGATGACACACAGGCATTCTTGGTAAATCCACACTTAGAATTCAAATGCCCATTTCCATTACGGCCGCAAGGTAGTGCATGCCTAAAGGTACAGGCATTGCATACATTTCCTTAGAAACAAGGGGCATTGCTAACTTACTAATTATGAAGTGAACTGGTTGTTCTTATTTGGTATTCTGCAAATCTTCAGGAATGTTTTATTAGCCACTAAATACACTGGGACTATTGACATCCTGAAATGCTCCATTTTTAATAAGCTACCCTATCACCTGATATATTACCAAGATCAGATTAATGAAATCCAACAGATCTTCCTGGAATTCTATCCCAGCTCATAATAAACGCACACTCTTTTTAGTTATATATTAATTTGGAACCATTTTATAGAATCTCACAGCATTTAGGCCCCTGTCTACCTAGAAATCTGCATTACCTGGGAGCACATAATGAAACATAATTAAAATAGATTATGCAAAAGCTGAATACACAGTAGTCTAATACATGCACTGCTGTACCCTTCTCATCAATAGTTAATGGATCTCAGCAATATCATTGTCAAGATTCCGCAAACAGAGTTGAAGCAATCTCATGCTTGCATTAATTTTTATTTCAAAAATTTTAGCTGGTAATTTCTTCTATCTTCTACATAACTAATTAATGTAGGAGATAAAACATACCAGAGACATATTATTAGATCTAGGCATGAAACAGTTAACAGCAGTGCACATGCCAAGGTTTTAATAAGGCTTAACGATAAAAAGCTTCAATCCTCCACTTTCACTAGATTTTGTTGTTGTGGTTTTCCCTTGCTTAGGGCAATCCATCTGTTAATGTTGACTTGCAATATAGTTAAGCTCACACACGTATAAAAAGCCTAGAAGAGCTAACCTAAGCAAGAGTAAGCTCAAATGAATATTACAGAGATAGAACAATTCATCTTAGGCAAAGATTAATTGTGTGTGCGCGCACACGCGTGCACACAGGCACGTATGAATGCACTCCCGTTATTTTCTTTTTTTTTAGGAAAGACTTTCACAACAAATTATAGGAGGCGGCAAGCTGATCACTACAGTTTGCAATAACACATTTAATTATTTATCCTCTGATTAGGTTTTGACAGCTGTTTTACATGCTATAAGTTGTTTTGATTTACTGTTATTTTTTTTTAAAGTCTATTGCTGATCTGGCAAAAAAAAAATACAATAAAACCACTATGACAGCAGTGATAAAGCTTAGTAAATATTCATTGTTAAAAACGGCTCTGCACTGTGACCAGTGCTGGTATTCTCCCTGGGCCAAACTGGCCTTGTTTTCAATAAAACCAGAGAAGTATCCTTTCCCTTGAGCCCTGTTAGGCTGAGGCTGCAGTTGGAACTGTCATCTTCACACAAAAGCAAAGGGGTTGGGTTTTACAAACGCAAAGCCTAATTGGGAGATCTTCATGGCTGTACCCTTGACATTTATTAAAGCCTCATCAACAAAACAGGAAATAACCATACTAATTAGCAGACCCACATACAAACTACTATTTGTTGGGGTAAAAGCAGATTCACTTCCTATTGTAAAGGAAATGTCCTCCCAGACCCCCAAATCCTGTTATGAACCAATTATTAAAATGATGATCTTTCACAGTGAAGCAAACTTTCATATCATACCTAATGTTTTGAAGTAAATATGTTTTACAGCATCTCAGGTAATTATTAGTTAGTATTTATGTTTAACAGTTTCCAAAAGTGGAGAATGAAAAGCTCAATGCATGCATCTAACATCACATAAAATCTAATACCAAATTCTTTGTATTTACAAGTTTCTAATTGTTTCAGTATGGAAGAGACAGTAATAAAGTGCAGAGGTGCCTCTTGTTTGGAAGCAAGACGACCATTAAAAGCAATCTCTTTCTTCTGTTTGTTGTTTGTTTAGGGTTTTGGGGGATATTCAAATACACTGACATTGCAACTTAATACCCGGTCCTTATGTTAAATATACATCAAAATGCATTAATTGCCTTACAGCGCTACAGATACTCATGGGCACCATTTCAGAAATCTAGGTGGAGAGGTTCATTTGCAGGATAAAGAGTTACAGGAAAAAGGATTAAACCCAACAACAATAGCAATCTGTGAAATTCACTGCTTTTAAACAGCAGATTCAGTACTAGATCAAACATAGTCTCTCTCATACACATGCACTTTTGAATACAAATATTTATTTGGATGTGAAATTTAAAATCACCATCCATTCATAAAGAACTTGCATTTATATTATCTTATTCTAATACATACCAAGAACAAAAATAAAAACGTGAATAGCAATAGCAGACTATTATTTTTTAGAAATATTTTGGTTGCCTTGCTTTGGGGGAGGAGGAAAAAGTGGGAATAGTGTGAGTCAGAGGAACCGTGTGAGAGCAGAGTTCCTGGGGAGCGACCAGCATTTGCTCCTTCCTGCCCACTGGGCTCACGTGACGTTTGGGAGCAGAGCTGGGGAGAAGACACGGGACCTTTGGCTCGCAGCCGGGCAAAACTGTGGGGCTGCTGGTCACAAGCTTTGCTGGTAAACAAACCCTATATATGTCCATGTGTGTATCCACATACACAAACACACATGTGCAAATGCATATATGTAAACAAAATTATGGACAGACATGCACTCCTTCTGTCTTGTTTTCAAAACTAAAAGATGACTGGTTGGAACTGCAACAATGACATTGAAGGCCTTAGCAGTATACAGCGGTATGAACACAAAACCATACAGAAATTAAATTGTTATGTCTGAATACAGGCCTTCAAAAGAAATGTTTAATTGTACCAAGGTAAATTAAACTCCTTTGTATCCCTAGACTCCTATTCCTAACAGTAAGAAGCACTACCATATCTGTAAATTACTGCAGATTCCTTTAATAGAAGCAGCCTATAAAATTTCACTGTCTAAAAGGGTATATTTGTGTTATGTATTGACACAGACACATACAATTGTAGATTCACCTACACTAATCTGTGAATGTTGGTTTATAATGCATTAAAAGCTTCTTAGTACTTCACATCATCAAATTATTTTGGTGGGGGAGAAGTTGCTTTAAATTAAAATGACAGTTATTGATTAGAAACAAGTATTTTAAGAACCATTCATGTTATTAACATTAGGGCTCTATACTCATACATTTAGAAATATAGATCTCTTCTGATACTCAGTGAAAAAAATCCACTGTACACAAGTTCCTGAAAGAATGCAGGCACCACAGCTGCCTGTATATAAAAATATAGTGAGGATATAGTTTAAAACTTTATCACTGGCTTTAAGAGATCATGAAAACATGTACAAAGTAAAACCTGCCTAAATAATTAAAGAAGAAAGTCTTTGTATTATTTATAACCCCACTAAAAATAATAACTTAATACTAATATACAATTTCAAAATCATTTACAAATAATTTGCAACAGTTCTATGTTAAATTCCATAACTTTATATTTGTTATGGCTAAAAACCAATTCAGAAACAAATTAATTAAATAGACAAATCAGATTTTTATCACTGTCATATCTAAAAGTAAAAACTAAATGTTGTTAGATCAGCTGGACTGAATTTCTATACTTAATTCTCCTATGAGGAAGATACATGCATTAGAAGTCCATATATAAACATTCGTTAAATGTATTAAAAACATACAATATAATGTAAAAATATATACCCACACATTAAGATATGTACATATGCAGGTATTTATTCCCAGAAAAAAAGTGTTACAAAAACTATTTAATTGATATCTTTGAAATAAAACTGTCAAAATGAATCCAAAGGCATTAAAACACTTGACAAAGTTGAGACACTACACCTGTTACTTCAAATCAAGACTAGAAAAGATTAGAGAACAAAGGGACAAGAGATTGGCACCATATTAACTAGGTGACTTATTAATAAAATAATAAATCATAACTATCTGAGCAAGGTTAAAGGTCACATGACTGACAAATCAATTTATTAGAAACACAAAATTTATGTGCCCCCCTATAAGGAACTAAAAAAGATAGCTTAACACAGATCTGTGAGTAGACCAGAATCTATTTGCTTTGAGAAGCCTTTATCGAAAACAGTATTTAATAATTAAATCTCAGATCCATACTAATAAATTTCCTGTATTTTTCCCCTCTCAACTAGGATGAAATACAAATAGCATTTTTCCTCCATTCAAGCAGTACAGCAGTATTTCTATAAACACAGCCTTTTAATCACACTATCTAAACACACACACTAAAATAGTCTTAAACAGATTCACTGACACATTACTAGAAGTGGCAAAAATTTTTCCTCATATGTATGTGAATAAGAACAGAAATTTCAGGTGTCTTACCTGTGCCAGTCTCCGTTTTTCCGAGTTTGCTCTTTTCTCATAATGCAATGTGTAGACAGGAGCAGTCTGTACTGCACTAGCACTGCAAGTTCCATACTCTTCTTCACTCTCCTACGCAACAAACCAGATTTAAATTCCTTTATTTATAACCATTATCTGCAAACGTACCCTCCATATTATGCATGCAGAATGCATTCAAAATTATCTTGCCACAATCTATTACTGTCATGAAAATACCATCTGTAGTAAGAAAATCAAATATAGCTTTTCAAGAAGCTGAATTATCAACACTGTCATTTAAAAGATGAATTGTTCAAATGTCTAGGAAATATTTTTGAAAGGTTTCTTAAAATAGCATAAAAAATATCTAAAAACTGGTTCCTTCTCCCTACAGAAAAATCTTATGTGGAAACAAAATTTTCAACGGGAAAAGCAGCTGCAAAATGCCTAAAACATATATTCTGATATTTTGGCAATGTTGCTTTTGCAAAATAAAACTATTCCTTCATTTTTAAACATTGCCATTGTTCACATATCTTTAAGAAACCAAAACGGACAACTACACCTTTTGAAATACACTGTACTGCAAGACTCTCCCATCTCAAATTCTCAGCTTGAAGCAAAGGCTTCAATTGTGATATCAAAGCAATCAACTTTATGAATACATACATCCTGTTAATGTATCTTTGAAACCTCTGTTGTTCTACGATAAAATATGCAAACAATAAAGAGATTATTCAGTGGATGCATAGAATGACAGATAGTTGCCAGAGGGCTCGTTATGAAAAATGTATTGTTGAACAAAGGGCTAAGCATATTTCAAAAGTCATTAAAAACACAAATCTCATGTGATTTGTAAAGTATAAGCTCCAAACTGATACAGGAAGCAATGTAAGAAAGTAAAAAGTGTACTGCGTACCTTGTGTTTTAACTTACTCTTCACTTCTTTTATTCCTTGCTTTGCCTGATTTTTTGCCTAGAAAAATAAAAGGACTTAAGTAGCTCTGCAAGACACTGGCTTGTGGTCATGGAACATGCTTTATGATGCCATACATATTTTACCTTTTTTTTAGACACCCGGTGATCTAAAGAAGGGCAATAACCTTAATCAGAAACTTCATACATGCATTGTCAGTGTATTTTATATATTCATGCTTTGTCCGTAAAAGGATTTTTTTCGGTACATGCATGCCAATGCTGTGAAAACACACATACTCAAAAATTCTCCAATATAACTAAGGACAGGCTAAAAATGGTTCTATACATCACTCTTTTATTTTAAATGGTCCTTAAAATTTGAAAGGGTATTTTAGCAGTAAGGCATGTTGGAAAAATGTTAAGATTTTCAAGATGACTGCTACAGTGTTCCAGTTGGGCAACTTGCAGGGCAACATCAATCTTAAGAGAAATGAAATGATTTCATATGCAGATGGAGATTTTGCCCAGTGTTGCTGAACAGCATAGTGCTGCTATTTAGAGGAGAATTCTGTATGTATTAAAATAGGCAGTCAAGGATTACAGATGCATAGAAAACAGCCAAGAATGTTTTTCTATAGAGAAATGAATTATCAATACAGAATACCATGCACTTATATTAAAAAACATTTGAGAGAGAGAGGACAAGGGAGAGTAGAAAAAAAAGAAAAGATGGTGAGGGAATGACACCAAAACCCTCACTCTAACAAAAGAAAAGTTATCTTTCTTATATGAATATAGGAAAAAAACATAGGAAAAGTTCTCAAGGTTGACTTGAAAACTGGACTTTAAAAAAAATATTTAAGGGCATCAGTATGTAGAAACAATCTATTTTTCTATAGTTTTCTATACATGGAAATTCAAGAAAAAAAAATCTTTTTTTTGAATCAAGAGGTCAGAGAGTCTTTTTGATCCTTAAATCATACATCTGTAAGCTCAATAACAGCACGATAGGGTGCCATGTAGCAGATGCTAACCTGAGAAACACTTTAAACTTTCCAGATCATGCTCACAGCATTTGGATGAATTCTGGAGTGCTTTGTTCTAACTCTGAGGGGTGGTACCAAGCACATTACTCAAGGCTACCAATCAGGTTTCTAGCAACCAAGAAATGCATATCTCATTTCTCCAGTATTAGGCTCCATAAAGGGCAACAGCATAAGAAAAGGGGTATAAATATGAATACCTTATACAAGCACATCCTCACAAAATTTACTAGTGTTTCTTGGCATACACAGAAGTTCACTCTGAAGAACCTTTATTATCAAGGACATAATTATCAAAACTGGGAGAAGATCATTTAACTGGCAGTTTAAGCTAGTGCAAACTGAAGAATAATTTACCGATAACCTGTTAATGAACCATTTTTAAAATTATAAATGAGTCCATGAATATGAGGTATATTTAATTTATTTACCTGTTTCTCTCCATGACTGCTGTGCTTTTCAACTGATGCAAAATTAAAAATTCTGCTTGAAAACTTTACTTAAAATACACCAGCTTAGACTGCTGTATGGATTTATTCAGGACTACTTATTATGCATCTAACTAGCGAAACATTTGGAAAAGCAAAAAGGAAGCAAAAAGTCTTTTCCAAAATATTAAAAATGCAACCTTAAAATACTTCCCACTTAATTTTACACTACTGCTGGCTTTCCATATTGCAAAATACTGCATAATTTCACATGCTTTATTGGTTAGTCAGTCTTTGAAAACAAGATTTTTTTAAGCTCAAAAGTATAAGCATTAAATCCAGTTAAATGTGAGTATCATCTTTAAAAGAACAGACGATAGGAAAGACTTGCTGCACACATTGCTGATGCTTTACCACATCTTTTCGGTAATGCAGCACTTAATGCCAAAGTGAAATTGCAACTGTGTAAGCCAGGACTCCATTTGTTCAGCATAAAATGTATCTCTTTGAATAGAGATCTCTACATCATGTTAACACTATATACTATGCAACTATATATTATAACAGTCGATTTATATTGCATATAAATGTAACATTTACAAAATGTTTTACACTCATGTTAACTTTGCAATGCCTGTTCTGTGTTATGGGACCTTTGTGTAAATGAGAATTTCTATTTTCAGAGTCCCTATTTTAATCATGTTGTCACCAGCTCAGGAAGTTTACAGCTGTGTATCAAATACCTAAGTGATATTCAAATAAGCTTCTAGCATGTATTATGACTGAAACAAAAACAGCCAAGTGATGCTTTGAAAATGTCTACTGTTACATACAAGCTATCTGGAAGACTGATTCAGCTCTAAATCCTAGTGCAATATCAGAAAACAAATGAAGCTAAAAACTTTCTACAGGCTGAAGCCTTTTTCTGCAATACATTTATAAAATGCTTAGGTTCTTAAGTATTCAGGAAGGATGAGAGTTTGTAGGAAGTCGTGGTATTTTTATGTATTATTTAATTAAAATAGATGATCTTACAAATTTATATGCTGTTTTCACAGCCGGAGTGGCTTTGGTCATTGCTGTGTTGATCAGTGCACCACCTTTCTGAAATATACAAAAAATGTATCTTAGTAACATTTTAACACAAGTCAAACCTTAAGACAACATCAAGGCAAAAAAAGTGTGCTGTAAAGAAATAACAATCTTCATTTTAAACTGGTAAGAATAACCACAGCTGTGTTTCCTCCCCAACCTGCTGTCTACAGCTACACAAGGGTTACAGTACGTCATTATCATAGCTGACACATTTATCAATGCATTCTAACAGAATGATGTATTTTCAGTCTTCACTCATTGTTACCATTTCAAATATGAATTCAGAAGTTATGGTGATTTTTCATGTGTTCGAATTATATTTATTATGCAACTTAAAAATACTTTGACCTGACAGAAAGAACTATCTCATTTAATCACACAAGAATTCTCTTAATCTAAAATAATGTATTTTAATAATCCTGCAGAATAACAAGGTTATACCAAGGGTCTTTTGCTAGCCAAACTGCACAAATCCATATTAACAAAATTGGTATTTAATAGAAGTGATAAACCTTGTATCAAATTGTCCTGTCACATCTAATTCACAGTTACGGAATGTAACATGATACAGAAAGCAGTAAAATTCCTGACCATACAGACAGAAAAGCCTTGTGTGTTTTGGCATTTGTTTTGTGTATGGGACTTGTTTTGTGGGTTTTTTTGTTTGTTTGTTTTTTGGTTTGGTTTTTTTTTTTTTTTTTAAATCTTCAAGAAAAAGCCCATAAAATTATTGCATATACCATAGACACATTATTTATTGTATAATGTACTTAAATGTTCCTTGAAAATGAACAAACTTTTACCGTTACATATACGTAAGGAAAAGGACAAAGATTTAAAGAACAGGATGGTTGGTATAATTACTTAACCAAGTTTATACCTTCACTGTATGCATCCACTGCTGATAAGATCTTGAATTTCCTGAAATAGAAATGTAACACAATCAAACATACATTCAACATTTAAAATGTTTCACCCCTCCTCACTCACTAATTAATGAGGATTATACATTAATTTCATTCTTCCCAGATAGACAAGGACTATAAAGACAAGAATATGTGTACACTAAGGAAAAAAACTAGGTATCTTTTATTTCATGATTTCTATTTTCTTTGTAAAAGCGTATCTTTTCACCACACAGTTTTTAATTCCAATTGAGGTAGAAAGAGAAATTAAAACTATGATAAAGTAACATACTGCTAAAACGTCTAAAAACACCAACTTGAAGAAAAGAATAACATAAAATGAACTGCATTCAAGAATAATGATTCCACTGGACAAATTTTCAAGTACAAAAATGACATGGACTGCAGATGGTACCATCCCAAGGAAAAAGAACAAGAGAAAAGTCTAAGGTTTATGGCACAGCTGTATACTCCTGTGCAGGACAAATCCTTTTAAATTATTAACTGTATCTACTTTCTCTCACAAACAAAAACCTCTAAAAGCCAAGTGAGAGCTACTGGCTTCTGTAGGACTACTGAGCACTGTTGTGCCACAAAGCTGGCCATGAAGGCCAGGGTTAAATTCTACTGAGCACTTGATGAAAAAATGAATACTATTTCCCAAAGGTGCTTCAGCTAAACACCAAAGACTGAGTCCCTGATCCTTGAAAAATTTTTAGAGTATATCAGTCACTTGAACACTCCAGCACTGTGAGCTGTTACTAACCCCAGAGAAGACATTCACGTAGACAAGAATGCTGAAGTCTCAAACAGAGTTTATCCATTCTGAAAGGACCATACTGATATATCATTCACATTACAGATTTTTAAAAGGGGATCTAAAAACTTCTTAAGCTTTGCAATAATCAATTAACAAAGGCCTGGGTGGAATTATTGCATTGGCTAGTGGAAAGCCAAAACCTCCTCCTAGAACATGGCTGAGAACTTAACTGGATCATTGTAAAAGGTATTCCCAAGTTTCTCAATGAGGTAAAAAAACAGCTGTTTATATCCTTTATCAGGCACTTTCACCCATTCCACTAAATCCCTTACAAACAATTTTAAGGCAGGCAAACTCTCAGGAATGATGCCACAAGTGAAAGCAATGCTTGCTTAGAAAGGAGATAACCTGATGATCATTATGATCCTATCTCCTCTAAGCATGTCAAAGAGCAATCTTAAAGCAAATATTACTCATTTTTTACTTCTTCGATCTGACTCCTTAGAACTACCAGAGCAGGTAGTATACAAACACCATGTAATAAGGTGAAATTTAACCACTGCTAGTGTGTTAATGAAACTTCAGTGAAGCATAAGTACTTTCTCTAACATGATATTTCATAACTTCAAATTCTTTTCCATAATATTCATGTGTCATCTGGCTTCTGGAGTCCTTAGCAGTGACTCTTTCCATAACTGAGCTTTCTTTGTCAATGACTTAAGCAATTACTAGAGACAGTGAATGAGATGACCGAAAACCACCAAGAATTTTAACTGTCTTCTAGTTCTACAGAAAGACTTCAGGGAAGGAAATAAAGAAAACAGATAGTCATCTACAGAAAAGGCCATGTTAACATGGCATACCCTCAGCTAGAGTTGAACCTCATGTAACTCTAGCAAGAAAATGCTGATTCCTTAAAATAAATTATTATTAAAAGAGAGGTTCAAAGGTTTTCACTTTTTCAGTTTTCCTTATACTACCACCACTGATATTAGACGAACTCCAAAAAAATGACTGCTGTAGTAAAATTCATGTGATTACCAATTACTTTAATGGAAATGTTCTACAAGAAATCCAAGTGCTCAGCCAATCAATCACCACTATATTCTTGTATTGAAAGCTACATAAAACTATTGAGAACTAATACACGTAACAGAAAATAAAATTTTAAGTATAAAATGCAAACTAATGAAGATTGCTGAGAAATTTCTTTTCACATACAATCACAGGGAAATAAATTTTGACCACTCTTCTGAAAAAAAAAAAAAAAAAAAAAAGAAATCTAAGTTTTATTCTCCAACTTCCAGTTTAATTTTCTGTGATGATTTAGTTTTGCTTGCATATGTGGAAAAAAGGAAATTTAAAAAGAGATGACTTAAACACTTTCCATTTGATTCACTAATTTTTAAATTATACTCTCTATAGCTAAGAATATGTACACCCATCCTTTTAAGAGCTTGTAGCTTACACTAACTTTCTGTGACTTTTCTGAAGGCTGGGTTTCACCTGCATTTTAAAACCTTGGGCTTACTGATAAATTTGATGGGAGTTAACTCTGCAAAGAGATCGTAGTTCTACCCCATTAGCGTCACAAAATGTCACCTTCAATTGTATACATATTGTTAGCCCTGCACTTCATAACGATAATGAGACAGCAGTTATGTAAATACTGAATATGTGCCCTAAGCAATTTGTCCACAGCCTGGCAATCTACAGCTTGTCTGACTTGAAAAGTACACACACAGTGCAATCTAACCGAGAACTGCTAGCAAAGCCAAGCATTCCCTCCTGAGCAGAGCCAGGTGAGACGTGATTCACAGGCTGCCAGAGCGCAGCCAAGAAATAAGCTTTATCTAACTTCTACTGCAGTTTTACTGCAGCCTCCTGACCCCCTAACTGCAGTCAGCTAACGAACTCTGAATACTGACATCACCTATCTGAATAATGGATGCTCAATGACTAAAATCTGTTTACAGAGCAGAATAAGCTACCCTAAAAATGCAGAAAAGTAGCAAATCTCTGTATAACTACAATTTAATCAAGAAAAAACCCACACAAATTATTTTCTAGATCACAGCACAAGACACAGAGGGCAGGAGAAGGCAGTGAAAACCTTGAACAAAAGGATTTATGTATTCTAAGTATATAAAAAGGTATCTTGCAGGAGGTGAAGATGGCTCTGCACCACTTGATGATTTCTCCCTGGGGACCAAATCCCCTCATCTCCATATGCCCATTTAAGCGTAGTATTGCAAAGGAAGACCATCTAAAGCTGCCATGTGCAACTCAGTGAATTTGCTCAAATCACATAACCTCTGTTTACTGAGAAAACTTCTACACTACTTTCAAGATTGCCCACAAAATAGTATTTGTGCTATGTCATGCATATTTTGACCCAATATTTTGACAGCATCTGTGATACCTCAAATATCAATAGAGCTGTACTAAATGTCTAACAGGAAGCCATTCAATAATCCTGTAATAATCAGGTATGGATTCAGCATGCAATCTTCTATATGGGTTAACTTTATAAGCTAGCTAATGTAAAAAGTGGACATAACAAAGCAATTGTCAGTGGACATAACTGAGGGAAGCAACACAAGGACTAATTTTTTTGTTTATGAAGAAGGTAAACTTCCATTGTCCCTTCTCAAATGTTATATAAATGTTAAATTTTTTTCCCTTTTTTTAGAGCAACACATTTGCTGGAGAAAGCAAATTTCTTTAAAAATTCAGGAAATCGCTCTGATTTCTTCACAGCAGAAATAATTAGATGTGAATAAAAGTTACAAGTGTTTATGGAAAACATGACTACCTAGAAAAAGTTCAACAGCACAAATGTCTACATTATGTATTGTATTATATAAACGTGCAGTTAAAAATGTAAATAGTGGTATTTCATCATATACTGAAGTTTAATGTATTATTCTACTGTATTAAACCATCATATCTTCATTTAATATACTGATATAACCAGATACATAATAGTATGTGTCCCAGCAGTGATTTGTTAAAAGCTAAAACCTTTCCAAGAATGAATGGAAACAATGAAGCAGTAACAAGATTAATGACTTCTAAAATTTACAGGACATCACGAGGATATTGTCATGTTGAAAAGCTCCCAAAGAAGAAGCGTCAATGAGCACACTCAAATTAATTCTGTACCTCCACAAAAGCCTCCGGCTGTGATTTCTTCTTCAAAAACATCAGAGAACCCTCTTCCTGCATTTAATTTTGATAGCCGACCATCAATAAACTGAGGGGGGAAAAAAAAAAAAAAAAAGTCACACACTGTTGGCCCTCCTAGTGATTTACAGTGTTATAGTTTTAAATGTGTGCATTATAATGCAATATGTATGTTCAAGACAACATACTGCCTAAGGATAATATACTGCTTTTAGATGGATTTTGGAAGGACAGTTGCGACTATGAGCAGCAGAAACGTCAGAGTATTTTATATAGATCAAGTGAATTATCGATATTATCCAAAATTTATAAAGTTTTGTTCAGAAATATTTTAAATGCTCTTGAAGCTTTTCTTGGTTTTCTAATGGCAAGAAAATATATTAATTTATTTCCTTACAAATTATAACTTTGGATTTGTAATCATAATCATATAAAGGTCACTGAGACATTCCCTAATGTTCTGTTGTGAAATTGTAAGTTTACTTCGTACCATCAACAAAATAACATAAACCTCTCTACGGTATCCCTTTCTTGGTATGCATCAGTAGGTCCAAAGTAGAACTTGCTGTACACAAAACGTACCTTTAGAATAACTGGAAATATTTCACCACACCCAGTTCAAAGAAACAATGGGCTATGATGTCTCCTTGAGGTCCATTAAAAGTGCATGTTTTCTACATGAAAAATGTCTTTATGTATGTGAGGGGAAATTGTAGCTGAACCATCCATTGAAACAGTAGAGGAAGGCTGTGGCTTGGATTCAATGGTGGCAGCAGCAGGCTGGATCTGACTGGCAGGGTGCAAACTCACTCAAAGAATTTAACATTTAACAGTATGGGAACGTGCCATAAAGTGCCAAAACAAAGTGAGGCATGATGCCAAGGCAGACCCCTAAGACCCTCTCTACCTGACCGAGCACAGTTCAGGGTTGACAACACTGTATTTTTAAGTTCTCTGACATCTGTTTTCCCCTTTTTTGTTGTTTGTTTGTTTAGCTTTGTTTTTTAACCACTTACGCTCATTTAGGTGCATCTACAGATGCATATTGTGACAGTTGTCCTTAGGCAGAGGTTACAGCTGCCATGAGCACGTGGATTTGCATCTACATGTAAGTGTATATACAAAGACTGAAATGATCCAAATACGTCAGAAAAAGTCAAAATAAGATCATTAATGATTAAATGTCTCAGAAGGAATGAATATATTCTTTGCAATAATTACCAGGCTACAACAAACTACAACGAGCACACTCTTAAAGGTTTAAAATTCTTTCAAGAAGCAACCCTCCCCTTTTTGTTTTGAAAAGACTAACTCAAGTCTGAGAGATAAAGTGAGAAAGCATTTTTCCAATTATATATGGTTCATCTTCTAGCAAGAATTAGGAGTTATTCACTGCTACTAAACAGCACATAGGAACTAACCAAAATTAATTATTTGGCTACATCATATTTTACCACAGATTATCCAAACGGGGTTAGTGACAATCTGATGATTGTCAGCAAACAGACTAGTGAAACAAGTTACTTTCTCAGAGTACAAAAATTCCAGCAGCAAGAATAAGGCAAGCACGAAGATAACCGTTTCTTTCTCTTCCTTTTCTAAATTCCTTCTTATTTTTTCATTATACTCTAAGCTGGCTTGTTTCCAAATAGTTTGGTTCATGGTCAGACCACTATGGGATCACTGGATTATTTCACAGTAAGAAAAAGAGATAAGAGCTACTGCTGTGGAAAACCCCACCCTTCACTCCCCCTCCCATCCCCAGCCTTTGAACTGTAAGATGTTATCTCTTTTGGGAAAGTTATGAATTCATTCCATACTATAAACTAACACAAGATTTATGGACATACTCATCATTTGGTAAAATTCTATCAACAGAAGGCTGAGACACTGACTGAATTTTAGTTTTCAGAGGATTACTCCAACTGAGTATTTAATGTAAATACTGACAAACAGAACTGTTAGCAAAAAGATATGAGAGACATTATTTAAAGGAAGTGATAAGTGTTAACAGTGGTAGTAGTAGTAGTAGTTATTACTTTTGAGTAATTTACTGTCAATGGTTGCACTTAAATTGCTACATGAAAAGAACAGCATATGGATTTACACATTAAACTTTAAGAAATTAAACTTTATGGTTTTCTCCTCCCATTTTTCAAACCTTTACTCTCTCAAAAAACCTGTGCCTGCTATTTCAAGAAATTCATTCACTCTGAGATCCAGAGAGCCCTTGGCCAACTATCGCTTTCAATTAAAAACTACTAATACCAGTGCTACTCTTGGATTTTAAGCTGCCAAAAGACAGAACTACCATAATCCTTAAATAATTTTTATTTCTGAGAACAAAATATAGACCATTTCCACTTCAGAAAGTGTTATTGCACTGGTGATAAAGGGTGGGTGGTGGGGGAGGGGAGATCATATTTGTGAAGTAAACCAAATCATTTATTTAGGCAGCAGTAAAAATTCCAAGTCCATTTATCCATTATTGAAAACAAAAATTTGGCTGAAGCAAAGAAAACAACATAAATGTGATTTCCACAAAGTAACAGCTCAATAGCTCGCAAGAAGAGGACTCTATTCATAAAGCTTGTAAATGAAATTTGAAATTACTAATAATTTTTAAAGATTTAAGATTCTTCAAGTCCTAATCTTGCATTCGTCATGTATTTTTCTGGTTAGCACTTTCCACCATTTTAGGAACAAATCCCAATATATGTTGCAGATTACATTACTTCTATAACTATCTTATTTAACAAGATAGTCTAGCATTAGGCTTCATGATAATTCTAAGAATGAATTCCTATTTTTCCTGCACATTCATCAGAACTATTTGAGATGTAAAATTATACTATTAATTATTTCTGTTTGCAGCTTGAAATAAAGATTAGCTACCTTCCATTTTACCCTAATTAAAGGGGAACGTTTCTAAGGCTCAGAAAAAGCTAACAGATAGCATACATAATAGCACAAATATCCAACATGTGGAAAAAAAAAGTGAGAAAAAAAGTAACATAAGTATACAGTCCAAGAAAACAAACACATAATCTGAAGAAAAACTGTCATAGACAGAATATTTAATCAGGAAATAAGAATATTTGCTATATACATAATAGTTATTTTCTTTTTAAGAAAAGTATTTTTTTTACATTATTAAATATCCTAATAGTTTAAGAATAATCATAACCAGGGTTTTTTAAATTAAATCTATTCAGGGCAGAATAAAACTCTAGAAAACTGTAGCCAGCAAACTGCATCAAACTGAACTTCATATGCTCCTATAGTTGTGATCCATATCAGGATATTTATCAAAAATTACTTCTATGCATTTCTGGAAAATATATGTTTTGCATAAATAGTTTGCTGTATCCTGTTTCAGAGCAATATAAACAGTACTTTCAACCTCCAAAAATGTGAAGTCATCAACGTGATGTAAAAGACATCTCCATAATTTGTAAGTCTGAAAGAATGGTTTGAGGCTAAAAGATAATCTACGCATGGTCCCTGCCAAAAATATCCTGTCACAATTTTCAGTAAAGACTATGATGTTGAATAAGGGAACAAAAATACAAGTTTTAATGAAAATAAGATACAGACTGGACATTATAATATCTGAGGAATAAAACTCAAGTCAAAAAACCCCTAGATTCACCTGTTACATGATTCTAAGGAAACCAGCACACATCTCTGGAAGTAAAAAAAAAAAATTTAATGAGTCTATCAAGGAAAAGGAAATAGTTGAAATGAAGAGTAACAGTACAAAGGCTGTGATAACTCCTGGTCTGTCAGTTTGCCCTTAACAATTTGATGAGGCTTACAAATAGATTTTAGGGGGGAGGAAATGGTAAATGAGTAAATGAAAAGATGTAACACATGAGTTATCAAAATACTGGTTTCTCACATATTCTTTGACAATTAATTTTCTAGATAACGGAAATGCAATTTATCTGTATTACAGAAAAGCCTCTTGTACATGCCTCAGAATACTAGTTTTAATGAAATAAAAGCAGAGTGCCTGAACAGTACACCTGAACTTTAGGTTCGATGAGGACTGGCCCAAAAAAGGAGATAACAGCTTGTAATAAAAGGAAAACTGTCGGGCTGGAAGTTTCACCAGTCATGGTATGTAAGGATGTTGGGACTGATGTTATTTATAGGTTAGTTAATGATTTTGGTACAAAAGACTGGCATGTGCTAATACATTTGGGGATGATATTAATAAAGAGCACATCAAAATGCAATACAAAGTAAAAACAGCTGATGTTGAAGATTCAAATAATATGAATGGGAACAACACAAAGAATTACTTCCACAGTTTATTTGAACAGTGATTTCCTGGTACTTCGGTGAAAAGATCCAACAGCTTCTAAAATTAAGAGTGTTAAATCAGAGGAATTAAGATGTTTTAATGTAAGAGAGAAGGGAAGAAGATTAAATACCTACAAAAAGAAAAAAGAACAGAGGAAGGATTTTATAAAATGGCACAAATAAAGATTACTTGTCAGTTACAACAAAAAAGGAACATCTAAAGTACCTATTTTTCTGCTTGGTCTGGGTTTAAGGCTGCTTCTAAGAACTACTTTTTGCTTAAAAAATTTTCCAGAACAGAATAAAATACATTTCAGACTTTTTGGAACACAAACAACTTTGAAAACAGGTCATTTGTCAGTGGGAAAAAATGGAGAAGATGCAGCTGGGCTGAGAATTAGCTAAAAAAGTAGGAGTAACCTTCACAAGAGAAACTAGAGAAATTTTAAAAACCTACTACTACTATTAATTAAACCACACGGATCATCAAAGTTCTTACTATTTCCTAATCCTCTAAAACACATAATTTCCTTTAGTTGAAATAAAATTAAAACAAGCTATAAACAAACTGTAAACTGATTGTATTTAATTGAACACATATTAAAATGTAATGGGTAAGTACAGAACCACACTGACAAGCCCATTCATTTCAATGGAGTTAAACTTTCTATTAAGAAAGTTTCATGCTAGTTTATTGCACTGACATACACAAACTGTAAACACTGTTTGGTCTGTTACTTCTTTCAATTTCAATCATACGTGCTAGATACTTCAAAAAGTTTCAGATTTCTTATTATTTCATATTTTTATTTAAATTTTGCTTAAATTAAACAATACTATTAAATGAATCCAATTCTATGACCAGTATTTCCTTAACTTCTATACAATTAGGAAAAACATTCTCACAAAACATCTACAAACTATCATCCTTGCATAAATCTTTACTTTAGACACTAGTCTGTTTTTTAAAATTAGAAGATTCTACACATAATGAATTTCCCTTATCTATCATGGCAGTATATCTTCAAAGGAGCCCACCAGATTATTTAAACATGAACTCCCACGCCTCTACCATTATACATATTTGCAGGCAAATATATACACTTCTATGAGTCTTCTGATTTCATTCAGGTTTTCCTTTATTTTCCTAAAAAACTACTAATAAATGTCTTAACACTTTTAATGCAATGGCATCATGTGATGAAAAGGGAGAAAAGAGTTACAGAATAAAATAAAGAAATTAACTTCCAAGACTAATAAAACTGTTCCTGAGCTGTACCAGACATTCAACAATTTGTTCTCCGTTAGTTCAAAATCTGCATTAACAGATTAGCCAGCATATTCTTCAGGCCACCTCTATGGCTCAGGTTTGTAAATTTCAGTGTGTGCATACTTCAAAAACCCTAGCAATGAAAACTGAAATTACAATATGAATCCAGTTTTTAAATAAAATGACACTGAATTCCAATTTAAGTAACCACTATGTTGTTTAACTTCTTTGGTCATGAGCCAACAGAGCTGAAAATGAAGTTCAACCATCAAGCTGGGAGATCCACAATTTTTCTTGTTTAGATGAGTTGCTGACTGGCTCTGAAGAGATGCTGCACTGACTCTGCACCCTAGGGTTATTTTTTTGTTGACTTTCCTAGCACCACCACTCTTTCTAACTATAACTGAAGATTTAAAAATAGAAGACTGGGATGACCATCTGTACACAAAGCAATTGTTCTTATGTTTTATCCCAATATTTTGTAAGATGACAGAAATTAAAATGTATTTAAATATGGATACTTTTTAAGAGAAAATCAGTAAACGTGGGTCATTTACCCTCTCATACCTGTTTAAACAGTTGAAGATTAACAGCAGTTTCCAGGAACTGCTTAGTAGTACTGGAACGATGCTTCACAAAACTATTCTCACAGAAGGTTATAGGTTCTCCCTAAAAAAATTTAAACAGAAAAAGTTAGATGGTAACTAGAGTATGCAAAAATGCTGATTTATTTAACATTCTCCATTACAAATTTATTTATTTATTAATAGTTAATATATACAATTACTGCCTTTAAAACAATCTTGATAAACATGCATCCAACTAAACAGACATGGACAGCAACAAAAAAATCAGGGACACCTTCCACTATATCAGGTTGCTCAAAGCCTCGTCCAACCTAGCCTTGAAGCTCAAGGAAGTGGTTCAAATTTTGAGGAAAATAAGGTCCCACTGCTTCAAATAATTTAACATGCATTATTGTTCAGGATTACTCTGATTCCCCAGCATGCTAAACCAGCAGTACTAGTAAAACAAAACACTAATTTAGTCCAAAAATATATATCTGCACCAAACTATTTTTATATTTATTCTACCAAAATATGAGAAGATTGATAAATATACCGATGATTTAACAGGAAATTATTGAAATACACATTTATTTTGTTTTACACTAAACAAAAGCTACAAACTTTTTCGAACATTGTTATGGAGAAAGTCTGAACAGAGAAGATTAACATTTGGTACAATAAAATGTATTTCCCCAACATGGGAAAAGCACATAGCCTATAGGTACCAAAAACCCTGCACCAAAACACTTCAATGATGAAAGATGATAAACAAGTATCACTGAAAATTAAGTGTTTGTTAAAAAAAATATTACAGAAAACACCACTCATTTAAAAATAAAAGGTGCTAATAAGATTATTTATAAGCCCTCAAATTGATTCCTATGTTATTCCCTAATTTAATTTAAAATTTGTTCTCTTCAGTGTGCACAGACCACTGGGCATTTCTGATGAGCATTCTTTCCAACTACATTATTCTTGTCAATACTCTGTGATACATACTTGAAGCTGTTTGTCATAACTGGATAAATAACAGATACATTAAAAAGCTTGTGTAGTGATCAAGGTACATGAATTGATTTCATCATAAAGCCAAAAGGCCTCTCACCCAAGTTTATACAACCATAATAATTAGCAGGTTAGAAACAATCACCAAAGGTCTCAAGGACAGAAAATCTGGAATCCAACAAAATGCCATACCTAAATCTACCTAGAATGCTTTACTCCTACATATACCTACATACATATATATATATACACACACTGTGCGGTCCCATAACAGAACAAAAGACACCTCAGCCGTTCAAAAGTAAAAAGGTCAGACAGCTGCTATATTGATCTTCACAATTGTCCCAACTGTTTGCCACTTTAAAGACAAATTTATTCACGCCCATGATCACCACAGCTTTCTGCTCCTAACCCTGTTTAACTTTAACCGCATGTGCTACTTCACCCATTTTCCTATCATTCTGGCTGACTTTGCACTTACGTGATTCCAGAGTATCACAAAACATTTTCTGCATGTGACCTAGGTGAGTTTGGTGGAGTAGCTCTAAATCATTTCCAATTGCTCTTTACACCTTGCACTTTGTTTTTAAATAGTTCAAGTATGATCCAAGGAAATATTGCAGTAAAAACACTGTGGTGTCATTTTAAAATCTGATTCTTACACTATCAATAGCTTCCCTCTTTCTAGGTCTCCCTTTTACGAGGTCCAATCTTACTCAGCAAAGTACTCACGTTCACTTTTAACCTGTTTTGAAGTTTTACATCCTGACTTGTTTATAGAACCTCTCATTTTAGAAGAAGATTTCTAGAAGAGCTAAAAGCTCTATGTTTACCTGAGATAATTCTTCCCCTTTCGCAGGGTAGCTGGAACGCTGTGATATGCAAACCGCTCTCAGTACAATACGTAGCACTGTGTCCATCAAGTCTCCAGGAGAAGCACCCGCGTTACTCCATCTACTACTTATCCTGAGATAACTGGTGAACACTGTACACGTGTAGGACATGCTGGATCTGCCAAATAGCTCAAAATGTTTGTGGTGCTTTAAATAGCACTGCCTTCCTGACCCACTTTGCGTTAGCTATTCTTGAGCTCCTAAAGACTCTTAAGAAGATGACCCCAAGCTACTTAGCAAATTCAAAGTGAATCAGAACAAATGGAATAGTTTCCAGTGAGACATGGTAATACAAGACATAGTGTTCCTGAGGGCAGACTCTCTTCTCAGTACTGTCATTCTTCCAAAAAATTTCAAGGCAGCAAATTATAACAACTCCTTATTATTATTTTGTTGTTGTTGTTGTTACACAAATAAATTATTTCTGAAAATATTGAGGCTTTGTGGGAGTGCAGAACTGACTAGATGATGGATCATGACATACCATGATGCATTAAATTTAGGACCAAAGAGAGAAAATAATATTTTCAAAATATACTATTTTGAAAAATAAAAACTAAGCTATGCCTCCGCTGCGACTTTCCCAATTGTCTTGGGAAAGATGAAAAAGGAGATGTTATCTCCCAGCAGAAGAGAAAACCAGCATGTTTGCTCTCCCTTTCACATCAGCCTGGGAAGAGAGAGCAGTCTGATATTTTTACTTGATGACACTTCTCCTGCCTGAGCCATGTAACAGAATGACAGGAAATGGTAGTTCAGCATGTTTGTAGTGCATGACCGTAATATTTTCCCAAATACTTTCCTTTAATCATTGGATGCTTCAGATACTTTGTAAGAACTCGTGCATTGGTGCTTCCGTTCTCTTATCAGTACAGTTCAGAGACAGAATAACCGAAGTTATTCTTGAGCTGAAAATTTGTTTAAGATCTATAAAGAGTTCACATCCAAGTCATCTGTTATTTGAACCTACTGATAGCAGGGTTGCTTTAAAAATCTGAGTAGACTTAAAGCTCCTAGCTGTTTAGCACATGAAAATGAGAAAATCTGTTGAAACCTGTAGAAATCCCACAATTAAGTTTTCTCAGGGTATTTGCTGTAGATTTACTGAAATTGTAATAAGTAATACAATTAATTCCTAGCTTTTATATTTGTTCAAGGCTCTGAAAAACAAAATTGTTTTCCAAATAAAACTTTTACAGATTATTACTGTAAACACGAAGCCTTTTGAAGTGCTATTTAAAAATAAATTATTGCATCAATATAAACAAAAAGACCTCTAAAAGTTTTCTAACAAAGTTTATAACTTTCTCATTTCTTCAAATATAACTGGGTGCCTTTAGAAACTGAGTTTTGGAGGAATGCTCCACTGATACTTAACTACTAGATCATCAAATGGCCCCTGTCATATTGATCTACAATGTACTTTCAAAACAAGTTCGATCAAAACCCAGTGGGGACTCTATACTGAAAAGTAGACAGCTAATACTCAGACCAAATAATCTATGCCCAAACAAGATATCTGCCCTTTTAACAACAGTTGCTATAGAATTTTCTTCCCCTTTCATAGCTTGCCACACACAGCTGGAATTTCTTACTCTAAGCTACATTCACATTTTAAGCAGGCTATTTATACAGACCTCAATGGAAAATGAAAACAGCGAGCTAAAACAGCATGATCATTTTAAAAGAAAAAACAATCTAGATTAGGAGATATGTTTGTGCTTTCTAAATCTAGTGATACTTAACTCAAACAAGAAGTACAAACATTTATTTCATTCTTTATTTCATTCAGTCTTTATTTCAGAATATTTTAATCAGTGTGTCATAAAGTTAGTGGATTTGTTTGTTTGAAATAGATTTGAAATGTGTTCACCTTGCCATGATGAATTACCTTTTTTAAAAATAAAAATGTGTCCTGTTTGGCTGATGACCGGGTTCAAACCATGACACACCTGTATTTCTTCCCAATGTTTGCTGCTCAGGAGCAAACAACTCCTCTGCCTTGCTTGTTCTCCTGATGATGTTAAAATTAGTCTCTATCTTAGTGAATACCTTTATATTCATTATTTTTCTGCTCCCTCCTCATTCTCTTACCTACCTCTCCCTCTCTAGACATAGACTGGGAATACTGTCTGTTTAAGAATTCTTTACATCACATAGTGTTTTATTAACTGACCATACTGCATATGATTAATGGAAAAAATTTACTAGTCTTTGCTTTCATCTGCAAGGTTTGCACAAGTACATGTGTGAGGAGTTTTCCCTAGCCATCACAGAGTTGTTAAAATGTTTGACTGACGTGTCTCTTGTCCGATATAAGGAAGGATGCCTAAAAATTACCCACAAAGAATGCGTAAAATACCTAGAAAAACACACAACATTGCACATACACTGAGTGACAAAAATGACACAAACTGCCCAACTGTAATCTCTGTATCTAACTCCCCGCTATGCACGCAATTCTGAAACACAGAACATGCAGTATTATTCCATGATAAATTCCAAAATGCTCGACTACCTAAGGAAAATAGGAGCAACAAAAGGTTCAAGACTAAGTTGTGACAACCCAAAGTAAACATAATTTGGATTTGTATATGCATTTACATGACGCAAGAAGAATTTATGTCATAACACTCTGTTCACTGCAATACCTCAGCAGGGTTAGACTCTTGTGACCCAAACCGCAGTCACTGATGTTGCAGATCGCGCAAAGGCTCACACTGCAGCTGCTAGCTGGGTGGGTACACCATGCACTGACCACTTGCCTTTCCATATTCCAGGGCTCCCTAGAGCCAAACAGTTTGAATGGCCTCCCTGCCACTGCTGGAGACTGCCCCCAAAGGACGCGTACATTCCCCTGTCAGGGCATCTCACATAACGTCTCAAAATGGACTGCAGTCCTCTACATGAATGAGACCATATACAAAAGCATCAAAATTCATCATTCCACTGACAGTATTTTTTGGTCCACTGTATTATTTTTCGGTCATTTATCAATGACAGTGAATTAATTTTTTCCAACCATCCCCACCTACCATGCAAGAACTGGATTCCTTCTGGATTAAACTAAAGCAGAAAATGAGCTTCAGCTAGTCATGGGTATTCAGTATTCAACACCAGACTAAAGTAAGAACCACAGTAAAGCTAGAAATGAACACTGTGTGGAGGTCAGGTCCTTAGCACCAACTGTACTGTTTTGCTCTACAGATCCAATGCTATTATGCAACAATTGCATAATATGTAAAGTATAGCATATTACAAAAATACTTTTGACAGTTACAGCAATTTGACCAATTTCTTTAATTCAGTATCATGATTAAATCAGAAAAAAACAATTATTTCCACTTTTCTTGGAAACTTTTCCTGGATTAAGTTTTTTATTATCATTTATTACACAAAAAAAAATATGATTTATCTATTACATGTCATATTTCCTGTCTGTATTAGAGTAGTCAAATTTTCCATATGGTCTTTTGGAGTCCCATGAACTCCTTTCAAGACCCCTGAAGCTTCCCATTTTCTCTTTCACCAATCATTTTTTTTCAATAATTGCTAGACGTTTGTTCAAGACATATTGCTATACCAAGGAGAATCTGTCCTATGCTGAAAACAAACAGTTGCACAGAATGAATGTTCAGTGTGATGAACAGCGTTTGGAGTGAAGAGAAGTGTTGGATGAGTACAGACAGTATTAAAGCTGTTCTTTACTCAAAGTGAATATTAATGACAGTTGTTTCATGTTTCAAGTTAAAATCATGCAGAACGCACTGCTGCAAGGAAAACAGTTCACTTAAACATATATTTCAACTTAGAAGCAATTGATAACTATCCAAATAAATTATTTTATTTTTCATCAGGAGCAATCCTAAAAATGGTACCCCAAAACCTCCTTATTCTTGATTTTGAAAATATTAGAAGCTTATTTATAGCAAAAGTATTTAGAATCTATAAAGAAAATATTCCCATTTAAGAATACCCTCTACAAATTTTCTACACGAATACTACTTGAGCTCCTGAATGGATGTAAATAAAGTCCATAGCTGTGGCAGCACAGATTCCAAAACAAAGGCTATTATTTTCTTTGCAATAACAATTTACAAGTTTTGATCCTCCTGAAAAATGGTCATAGAGTCAAATCTGATTTGATTTTCCGAACTTCCCAATTCACTATCCATTAAATGGAGTTCAAAAGTCACATGTGAAATGAGATGAACAATCATGGGACAGCTCCTCTTAGTTTCTACTAATCCAGAGCAAATTCAGCTTCTAATAAATTTTTCTATCACAATAAACATACTGTAAAACATTAAATAAATTAAAACTATGTGAACACAGCTCAAAATAACAGCTACACTTCTTTTTTTAAATATGCTTTGTCTTTGAACAAGTTGATGCCAATCCAAGATATGCTGGTATTTGCCAGCAAATTTCTGCCTGTGAAGATATTCTGAAATAACATATCTTTAAAAAAATCAAGCCACACTGGTTTCATATTTATCTTGTCTGATATGTGATCAGTGGAGAAAAAAAAAAAAAAAAGACAAAAGGAATAAATGCAGACTCCAGAGGTGACTTAGACAAATGTCTGCTGGTTGAAATGATGCATGGTGCACTAATTCCAATACAGTGCAAATGTAGATATCTCAAATATGTCAATAAATAAACTAAAATAAAATGGAAATCAGTTAAAAGGAGAGCTCATTTCAACGAAGACGTTAACCAGAATGCTAAAGAACTTGAACATTCAGTTCAACAAACTTACCAAAACAAAGGACTGACTGAAGCCTATTTTGGTCAGAACAGAGGTAAGGACATCAACCAGACTGATATAATTCTGTTTGCGTAGATCTGATGTAGATTAAGACATTTTTTGACCTAACAGCTCTTACTGCAAGCTGCCATGAGTTGACACAGACTAGTGTCCTCACCTTTAGACTAAGGGACAAATTAGATAGCCTCTCCTGAAGCAACATCAGGTAATGGCACGATGGAATAAATGACAACTGCTTTGTTGAAATTATTTGTTTTAATGAAAATAGTACAGTGTTTAGCAGTTTTGAAAACAGGTAAAGTAATTTCAACATAATATGCAAACTGTCTTTCCATTTCATAAGAAAACTATAATGACTGCTAAACACAAATACTTGAAACTAAACTTTTAAATATTTCTTTGGTTTTGCATGGGTTACTTTTCATGTCAATAACAATAGCCATCTGTGGCACAGACAGCTAGTGTGTAAAACACTCACAGCAAAAAAGATGACTTGTAAGAGAACCAATCGGGTATAAGGAAGACTGTACCATACTGTATTTTGATGCTTCCTCCAGGAAAAGGCCTCACCTAGAAGTAATAACTATCTTATCCATTTCTATCAAGGAATACCACAGAGTTCCTTACCCAACCACTCTCCTCGCCCCCAAACACCCACCCATACACCCAGCAGTTTTAGAAACTCGACGCCTCAAGTGAGGATGATTTTCTCCTATCAAATCTCAATATTTATCTGAATCCATCAAATCACCAAACATCATATCCTCAAAATCCAATTCAGCCAATGTCATCTCAATTCATTTTATCAAATGGAACCACTATCAGCAGTTTGCAAATATCATAGCAAATGAATCTGGACAGACAGTAATGAATTTCTAAGTTACTTCTGATAAGTGATTTTATCTCTAATAGGCTCAATATTTGCCACCCTCATAGACCAGAAAGGATGAAAGCCCATAACACATCAATCTACTGAGTACCAGCACAACATCAGGAATACAAATTCTGAAGTTCTGATGGGATGAAATGGGTTTTCAGTTCTCCTAACTTCCCAGAGGAACCAAGGTAAGTGTATAATAGAAGAGATGCATGTTCGACTCGTATCTGGCTTCTGCTAGGAAACAAAAAAGCTTCTGCCCTCGAACACAGCCAAGTCTCTAGACCAGTAAAGTGAAAAATGATGGAGCCTGAAAGCCACAGCCTCTTTGGCTCATCACCACATTAAACCAGGTGAGCTGCATGTAAATAGTTTCATTAAAACAATCTGATTTTATACTAAATAAATTATAAAAGTGATACAAATTAGAAAATAGCTGCCTTGGGATGAGTATTTATTTTTCAGTAACTCACTGTCTGAAGGTGGTAGTGTCTTCTAAATGGCCGATGTATCCTTAGCACAGAATGAGATTTAAAACATTTTCTTTTAAATGTTTCAGACTAGGATAAAACATTTCATATTTCCCTTGCAAGGAATGAGACCATGCTCTTATAAATTAAGGAAAAAAAAAAAGGAAGTAAAGAGGCCTTACTGGTTTGTATCTCAGTGCATCTCTGTAGGATCCAAACAGTGCTGCCTGTGCCCGAAGAAAGGCCTTGGCTACTCCATCACCCGTAGCTGTAGACTGCTTTTTCAGTTTATTTTTCAAGGCCGAGACCTGCACGACAGAGTGGAACAGTTAAATTAACACCTCAGAAATTGGTACAGCGAGGTATGAACCCAATCAGCAGGCAAACCATGGTGTCTACAGGTCAGCCAAAAATTCATACTCCTTCTTGATAGCTTATCTTTTTAACTGCAAAGAGCACCTGCTGGTCTGTTAATTGAAATGAAAGCAGGGGATGATGGTAGAGTGCTAATGTAAATTGGTTTATGCTCTCTTTTTTTCCCAAGGCCTTTTGACATAAATAATCTTAATTATTTTACAGTAAAATGCATGTGAGCCACTTTTCTGCACATTTTTTTTTCTCAATCATAACATGTACCTGCTTGTTTTGAAAGGAGAGAGTTGGATGTTTTTTGTTTATGCTATGAATGCTTACTTTTAAGGACTCTTAGTGGTCACTTACTATTCAGTTCTAGGTTTGGGTTTGTTTTTTGTTTGGCTTTGTTTCTTTGTTTTTTGTTTATTTTTTTTAAAAGTCAAATTACTATCTTATATCATTTCTCATGCACCATGGGAGTAGCTGCTACCACTGTAAAATAGTTGAGAAAAGTTTGTGTAAATTCAGTGCTACATTGCTTTTAGAATTGTCCTCGAAGGTAAAACATGAGAAAGGGAAAAAAATATGAAAAATACTTAGGAGGCACCCAGACTTAAAAAAAAAGACCATTCTTATTTTAGTGCTTGATTTTTCTTTTTAAGGAAGTCTATCTCTTTTTACTTGGCAAATGGAAATCACTGAATATATACAGTAGGAAAAAAAAAAAAAAAGAGAGAAATATTAATTTAGATTACCCTTACTTGGAGATACCTTGGAGAAAAATGTATTTTTTAAAGTTATGTGGAACTGCGGTCAGTTATAGCTATAGTCACCTCATTTTCATCATGAGGGACATTTGGAGAATTAAGTCAACTCCAATTACATTCAATACATGTTTCTACATCCCTTTGTATCGCAATACACCCAATAAAACAATATTTAAGTCACTAATTACTATACAAAATAACACTGGGTTAGTCTTTAAATAGAACATTATGAACGTAAACTATCACCAAAACATCCTTCATCCTTTTAGAAATATATGCAAGAACGAGTATTTGTTTCTTTATGCAAGCAGTCCTGACTGCTCTTGTAGATGAAGATTGTAATTGAAGTGTCAACCTAATTAACAACTAAACTTTGAATAATGCTAATGAGAACTGAACATGGCATCAGAGAAAAGACCAGCTCTACAGGTGATAAACCTTCACAGTAGTGACATTTTCCAGTGTAAAGTCACAGTTACTGTGATCTGATCAAAGAGAGAGACCCCCATTGGGTCCAATTATAACTATAGTTTTGAAAAAAAAAATTATTGAGTTATGATGTTCATAATGTATGCAGAAAGGCCTTTACAGTATAGGTCTTTTCCCAATAGCTGTGATCTTTTCAATTTATATCCACGCTCCATAGATCTAGATAAAAGTTTAGAGCCCGATTCTTTTAGCTCATGGAAAGCATACACCAAGGCTCATTTATGTTTTTTCCTTACACCTCAAAACAAAAAAAAAAGTACAAGTCTGAGTACAAAAAACAGTTAAGCAGTTCAAGGTTGAAAAAATAAATGCATGTCTTCAGTTTGGGTTGGTTTTGCTCTGTACTGTATGATTATTTTAAAGTTACTAAAAATAAGGTTTATTTAATTATAGGGAAAATAAATGTATATATCCTTTGTATAAGGGAAATCCACCCATCAATATTAGCTCAGTTTCACTAAAACAAAAGCAGTAACATGAGGTCAAAAATAGAACTGTCAACCTTAAAATTTTGTTTTTGTCATGATGGACAAAGCATCTTCTAAATATAAGGGAGGGAAAACATAGAAAAATCTCTACATTCTTTTAAATCTACATTCTTCTGGGTTATACCTCGTGATTTTGGGGAAATTATGGCAGACAATAAGACAGGGTCAGAGAAGAAAGGGGGTAAAGATGTTGTAGAGCAGAGGAATTATAGGACAAAGAAGGGTATGTGAAAGAAAATGGTATTTTCTGATTTTCTCAGTGCTGGCAGGCCCTCTACACTCTAACATAAATCAATAAAAAGGATGCTTTAGGCAAAAACATGCTGTAAAGAACAACAGAAAGCAACAAATCTCCTGTTTCACTGCAGTAGTGGTACGTTATTAGTTCAACAATATTAAGAACATCCCAATGGGCTGGCAGTTTGGAGGTAGGCTCTCCAGCACAAAAATGGGTTAAGTCAGATGCATGTTTGTGTGCAGCCATTCTGAAGGGAGTTCAAGCCTCAGAAAGGCTATGCTGGAGTTCAAAGGAAGTTCCTCCAACTTCTACTTCTCTCAGGAGGCAATGCTGAAAGGCAGGAAGAGCTCTATTAGGTTATTCTGCAGAAGTACTAGGAGCACAGTGCTCTTAGGGAAAAGCCAGCAGAGATAATGTGGGCCACAACCCTGATTTCCCAGTCGTCCCAACTGGAATCCTGGTTGAAGTACGCTTGAAGCACCCTTGAGACCCAGGTTTTGTTCAAGCTGGTCAGCAAATGGGCATGCAGAGGGACAGTGCTTTCTCAGGGCTTATCCCACCACCAAGTGATGGCAAACTCAAGCTAAGCATTTGGGTATGTTGCCAGCAAATTCTCCCAGATCCACAGTTTAATCAATGATAGAGTGATAAAGTAGTTATTACAGTCAATACAGTAAGTATAGGTAAGAGACTCAGTGCTTTGAGCTACTTTGAAGGATTTGGTGCACAGCAGGATTGTGAATGCTCAGATCCATGAACCTAAAACCAAGGAAGTGTGAGACCCCTTTGGTTGACATCATTAATAGCTCTTTCAGATTTCAAAGAAAATACACAGTTCTGGCACCAAGCTACCAAAACTCCAAACAGCATCTTTATAAAAATCTTTTCCTCATATATGCTTTAATCCCTCTACCTATCTATAATTAAGAATGCCAAACTTTCTTTTTTCCCCTTCTTTGCACATCTTAAGCAGAAATAGCCTTTTACAAAGTTTAAAAATAAAGAACTGCAAACAAACAAACCACAGGGGTTAGAATGCTGTTAAAATTTATTCCTGGAAGACACCGGTGATCCATTTCAGAAATGGTATTATTAATTTACACTAGAAGCAAACTGTCTTTATCTTCTCCTAGCAACAGCTTCTCATAGGAAGGTGACTTCATTGGACTGCTGAACACTACCAATGAAGAGCAATCAGAGCTTCAGAAAGGTTTAAATCAATAGAATAGTTTTTGAGAGATTTAGAAAGTCATGAGATTGATATGTGATTTTGCTTTCATATATGTAATTAGGTGTATCTAAAATGTAGAAACATTCTGTTGTCCATTAAAACAAAAAGCATAGTTTTTTGTTTAGTCACCCTATGTCCTAAGATTCCTAAAATATAACTATCTGACCAGAATCAAAGCGTGATTAATATCTCTTCCATATCTATGTGAGTAGAAGAATAGAAATGCACGTAAAGTTAAAAAATAAATTAATAAAATAATGTAACTATTAATCAAAGTCTTTGCTCCTGCAAAAACTTAAGCACATGTATATCTTTAAGCACATACAAAAATATTCAACACGTTTGTTGCCTGAGAAATTCAGAACCATGCAGTGAGATTCCCAGTGACCACCAGATCTCTGAAAAAAAGCTATTTCTCTGGTATCAGTGACAGTTGTTAAGCTTTAAACTACTTTTTTGGTGTTTCCCATCAGATCACGTCACTATAAAAGTAAGCCCACTATCAACAGCAAGAAGGTGAGAGAAGATGGCAGAAAAGAGAAACAAAACAAAAACCTCACAATAAAATGCAATCTGATATGATTTAAATCAGTATTGTTAATGAGTTAATGAAACGGCTTCTACATATTTGATATTATCTACACACACAGAATTTAGGCATCTCAGCCCTCCAGCATTTAATCACAAATAGTCATTTAGAAAAAACATAACACTGCAAACACTGCTGACTGCTCTGAGTTTTAAGATATATCAGTAATATTTTTGGCTATTTTCTGAAGGGAAAACATAGTAAATTATGGTATTTAAATTCTACAAAAAATCATTTTAGTTGCACTGCAAAATGTTGATAACTTCTTTATAATACTATTAATCCTTATATTTTCAGAAATAATTTGCACTCCCATTGTTTTTATAAAGTAAATTTAATTTTCTACGGGAATTACAGCCTACTTATCAAATGCTACTTTTAGAACAGTAATGTTCATACACCCAATTTATGGTGTTAAAATCCTGTGACTTTAGGAATTTCAAAACTAGAACTCTAAAAAGTTGTTTAGATTCTGTACTGCATCATAGTGTGTAGACACCATACACTACAAAGGCTACACATCTTTCAACAGCTCTGCAGATTTTATGGTTAGCAATATTTAAGGACCACAGAAGATGTTAAAAAACTATAAAGCCTACTGTTTTCTGAAGATCATATTTATAAAAGTTTTGCTTAGTCTATGGAGAAGTCGTAAGACTTGGTTGCTAAAAGTGATGCCCTCAGTTCTCCAAGCTTTTTCTGAGAGTGTTCAAATTTGAACAAAATAGTGTTGCAGGATCAGGCCCAATGTTTATAAATTTGTGTCTATGGTCTCCGCTAATTTATATACATCACAAATGTTCTTTTTCTAGCGTCTTACATTATTAAAGTGGTGATCTGCGTATTATTGTATTAGGAAATTTACTCCCACAGAAATAGCTACTCATTTTCATTTTTTTTTTAATTAAAAAATAATAGACAAATTCACAGTGAAATGACGAAATTTAAAAACAAGTGTTCTTGTCCGAAGAGAGGAGAAAGAGGGTTTTTCCCCCCTCTAAGAAAACAAAGGATTCTTGAAAGCCTTGCACTGATTTATTTTTCCAATTTTAAATACCTTAGGAGTAGCGGAACTGCTACTGGCATGGTAGTATTTCTAACAGTCAATAAATCTAAAATATTATGTGTGAATATTGGAATGAAGCCATTAAGAAGATTACAGCATGCAACGCAGCAGAGGGTCCACATGAAAAAAGGACTGGTAATTCAGGACAACTGTGACCACTGACCTTTGCACAGTCAAGACTACTGGTCAGTCTGACAGAATAATAGAGTTCACATGCATAGAAAGTCATCTAGCCTGTAACTATAATTTAAATGCTTAAGTAAATGATTTTAAAATACCTTTAAATCTCAGTTAATTTATTATACAGTTTATTAGACAATGCCATATAATAATTTTTTTTTCAATCTTAAATTTATCATGAAAAAATTCACAATCAGGGCATTTTAATAGACATATTACTTACACATTGGTATACTATTAAATACCTGTGCTGTGAGGACATCATCAGGCTTATTGATCAAGAAAATAATTACCTAATTTCCTTCAGAGAGAAGAAATAGTTTTAGAAAACTCTTTGAAAATACTGCATTTCTTTTGTTAGGCTGTTAACTAACCTGGAATCAATTTCTGAAAGGGATAGTAAGACTAGAGCTTCTTTTATATTTTCAGTTCTTCATTCCATTTTAACACCCTTCAGAGGTACTCATATTTTCTCATCAGAAGTTTTACTACCTTTGTATGTATGCTTATAAGGTTTATTTATATAGGTTAAAATGCTTCACACATGTATCTTTGACATTTGCTTTACTGTTTTAAGTCTAACTCACCATTTTGACTCCACTCCTTTATCTTACACTTTTTAACCAAGATGTTAGCAGTTGCACTGTCCCTCATGAATGCAAAAGAAAGACAAGCATTTTGCCTTTCTATGAGCCAAACATGGACAATGTCTGTGCCTTTTGTTTCCACGTTTTCCAACTATAATTGTATATGCTTGCCATTAAATTATTTTAATTAAATTGCTTTACAGATTGAAGTAGAGGAAGGGCTCTGAATATTCAAAATTAAAAGCTTCATTACAAAATCTTCAAAATATGCAAGTATATTTTGCATAAAACACGGTTCTGTTTTCTTCTATATTAGATATATAATGAAATATTTTAAGTGTACTGTATAGTCTGTACACTTGGATAACCTTCATTAACATTAATAATAGCAACATGCATATATCCTGGGGGAGAATGTATTTCTAAAAGTATAGAAATCTGTATCTCTATTTTCTTCATGCTAGACTACTCATTTAGAGATCATTTTGATATGCATCTGTAAAATACCTGAGAAGTGCCTCTCATTGAACAAATATAAATTTTTACTGTTTGAAGGACCTCCAGCTACAACTCCAATATTTTATGGAAAATTATGTCTAACTCTCAATTCTACATCCAGCTATTATTTGACAAGAGGTATGTACCTCCATGACATTATAACCTCAACCTTACTCATTGTATGCAAGGTCAGTTACAATTACTGACACACCAGAAAATGACTCATTTTTTACTTAACTTGTTATACTCCTAAGCAATACAGTACGGTCAAAATTATTGTATATACCTCTGTGTGTGTGTGTGCACATACTTCTTCATACACTAACATAAAATCATGAAACAGCAGAATAATTTTTATACAGTATTTTACATTTCTAAACTACAGTTGATACCGAGTCAAAAGATAGACTGACCAGATGCCCTATAAAAAGTCTAGATTTTAACATCACTAAAATCAAAGGGGACTGACATTAATATAATCATCAAGAGTTTGATTTCTATTGTACCAAATACATACAAATTACCAACAAAAACAAAAGACAGTATGTCACTACATTGCCTTACTATGACTAAGACAGTTTGTTTTTATCATTTACAATTTCAAAAAATGTAACTCTTTGATTTCACATTTTGATATAAAATTCTTTGTCTTGACAACCATTTGTGATAGCTTGAGCATCTAGAACTAAATAATCAAAACAGTGGTTTCACAACGATAATCTTTTAGAGCTCTATTGGGAAAAACAAGGTAAGTGAATTTTGTGACTATTTAAAATGATATACAGAGCATGTTCCCCTATAGGCAGTAAGAAAAAAAAAGGGGGGGACACCCTCTGCAAGATCAAAGTCCAGAAAGAACTGGCACTTAATTTATCGTCCTTTACAGACAAAAGACAGTTTTCGTCATTTCAAAAGGATTAGATGTCTTTTATGACAAACTGGGTTTGCAGTTTAATTTACAAATAGAATTCTAAGTAAGCAGTCTTTGCTCTGCCAAAGCAAATGACAAACAGTATAGGTTTTCATTCATGCAGCCCTCAGCAGGATAGAATAGATTAAAATAAAACTGAAATAATTTAGAGAAAACAAATAAATGTTTCAGAAAGTTGAAGAAGATCAAAGCTTGAATTTTCTGACCCCAACTGTACAAGCATTTCTTATTATATTGACCAGTGCCATCAGATCATTAATTAAAAGGAAAGCGCTGGCAGGTGGCAGGGAAGCAGAGCCGATAATTGGCCCCCTTCTTCTTTTTGCCTTCAAAAACTCCCTCGTTCTTTTGCAAGACATGCCACTAGGCAGACAGAAATGCCTACTTTGTAATATAATGATTAAGATGAGATGAAGAGACTCTTGCGTTTAAAGCAGCTATGCCTAATGAATGCAGCTAGCTTTATAATTATGATCCTACTTTTACAATAAGGAATATGATGTTCCATTCAACATCTCAACTGTCAAAAAGGTAAAAATCTCAAATACAGGGTCTACACTTGGTGTTTTTCACCCCCTTATTCATTTTATAGCAGTTAGCAAAACCAGGCAAAAATATCTACTAGTAATTCAAGCATCTATATAAGAAAGAAAGAATTAAATATCTGTAAGACTCACCACTTCACCAGGTAGGTTATTCAGGTCATTAAAAGGGGTTTCTAGAGTGTTTGTGTCAACATTTAGCAAAACCACATCCTCCAGTGATCTATTTTTTACTCTCTGTTAAGAGGGAAAAAAAACAGTGGAAAAGCATTTTGCTATGGCATCCTCTTGAAGTACATTTTTATTATAATGTGCTAGATAGATTACAAATGATGATTTTAAAAAGGACAGTAATGGCAAAGACAACATTTTGAGCTTTAGATGTAAGATTTGTGCATTAGACACAGGATTCAGAGTAGCTTTTAAAAACACTTCCTCTTCATCAAACAGTAAGGTTATATTAACAATCTCTGAAATAGAAGCCCATTCAAGAAATGAATTATTGAAAACCAAAATTTACACAGAACACAGTTAAATATAGTGGAACAATACATATCTTACAACAACATTTCATTTTCTCATATTTCTGAAAATCAAATTGGATGTTAATCATATGATCAGATTAAAACCAGAGAATACTAAGTAATTATTTGCAGATTTATGTAAGTCCCAGGCATGTAATGTCTAATAGCATTACAGAAGAATGGATGAAACAATCTTTCATCAATGGACTTGACTAGCAGCTAAGAATGAAACAATTTGTTCCTTTCAGGAAAAAATGATAGAGCTCTTTTCTATACGGTCCTACAATAATACATTATGGTGTGGACCAGGAAATAATTCCAGAAGGAACTGACTGACTTGTTTTTCAGAGCAAGCCTTTCTGGTCTATTATTTTCTGATGGAATAAGGAAAAAGATTGTAGACGAGACATTATGATCAACGTATGCAGGTCATATGAACTTGATGTGAGAGAACAGAAGGCTATGTCTAGTGATAGGAAGCTTACATGATAGAAGGCTCTTTTTTGGAAACACAAAAGTGCTAGTGGCTCAGACGGGGGTAGAATCTACCTCATCAGCTTAGTAAATGTGAACTGATCCTTAGAAACTGCTTTAGCAGAAGTGTAAATCAAATAAAGTTCCTAAATCAATTATCTACTCTGCATGATAATCAGACTATAAGCGTAGACTTAACAGTATCATCAAATGGTTATGGAAAGAGGCAAAGCTGTTTACAACCCAGATATTATTTACTGCTCAGTTAAGTTCTACTGTTTTGCTGTATGTACAAAACTGAAAAGACTACCTCTTGTTTTTTGGCAAAAACCCCCCTCGTTTCTAAATCAACAGCTATGAATGTCACAGGATGAACGTTAGACGCAGATTTTTCACAGGGACAAGAATGTAAATTATCTGGGAAATCAGAATGATGCTGAATTCTGATTGATGATGACACCAAAATAAATTTTAACTGTTCTGATTATTGGGAAAGTCTGTTGCTGAACCACTAAAAAAGGCAGGAAAAAAGCTATTATTGAGCTATTAAATGGGCACGGAAACAAATCATTATGTAGAGTCTACATGTCTCCATAAAACACTTCAAAAGTAAGATTTCAGAGATATTTTTTACTTTATAAAGTATGTGAGGCTTCAATTTTGTAATTCTGTAAGCAAAAAAACCAGGGATTCTTTCTGAAACATTTCCATTAAAGTTATCATTTATGGCACACACACCACATGCTTACCAGTGCGCAGAAGCGTATAGCAAACTTACCTCTATTAAGCTTAAGTGGACACCAATTAGATAAGGCATCGGTGCACTGAAGAAAAAAGGTGGAAAAGATCAAGTTTTAAGTACCAACTACTACATTTGTGGTGCAAAAAATAGTTAAAATCTGAGCACATAAAGTCCCTAGTTAACATCCACTGTTTAAAGCTGTATTCAATTAATACGGTTGCTACTGATATTTTTACTAGACATAGGAAATTACTTTTTTAAAAAAAAAAAAAACAAACCCTCTGCAGTAAAGACAACCACAAAACAAAAAACGCTGTTCTTAACTAGGGAAATATGAGCGAGAAGACATGTAGTCGGCTTGCCGTACCAGCTTGCCATACCTAGTTTCAATAACCAACCCTACTGTATGGCAGAGCTAACCTAGCGGGTGTTCTGAAAGCAGTCTGTCTCTAGAACTACAATGGCTAAAAACATCATTCTGGAGAATACGGTACTAGTTAAGGTCACCATGCTGCAACTCAAACATCAGTATTGCCAGTTTTGGTTCTGAATGTGCTTCTGAAACCCTTCCTTGGTAGGCGTTTAGAAACTGTATAATATACTATTTAACTCAATACAGTAAACTTCTCATTTCCAATTTGAATAAGACAAGGAACTATATTCTCAAAATAAAACAAATATCCACACCGAGTCTCTGGAGTGAGACCTCTTGCAGTACCAAAGGCACTGAATTAGTCAGGCCAATTTATCATGGTTTCCTATAATCTTCTGTTTCTTCCTCTAGTGAATGTGTTCTGGGAACATCTGACCAAGAATATACTCAGTACCCAGTGCTGAAAGGAAAAAAACATCCAACAGTCATCATCACACTTTTGGGTACTGCAAGATTACTAAAAATACTCACTCTAGAGAAGCGAGCAATAAATTGGTTTAAGCAAGTCAGTGGGAAATTAAATACTCAGGATCCAGAGACAAAAAAAAAAAAATCTAAACAAAAACAATCTCTGAAAAATAAATGGTAGGCAAAATTACTTAAACAAAGTTACCAATATAGGTGACATACAATAATTTCTCCCATTGTACTAATCTGATCACGGATCTGAGCCACTGGCACTGACTGATTGGCAACTGACTTCCCGAGGGCCGGGGAGAGGCTTCACTGCATCAGTTCATGGGGTCTCATCAATTTGGTCCCAACTCTGGGAGCAAAAGAGGCAATTCTCACCTGCCTCTGACTGCAGCCAGTTTTAGAAAAATCTGTACACACTACAGATTAGTCAATTGCTCCCATTAACAATGTCCCACAGGAGAGGATCCATGAAGAAACAAAAACAAACAAAAAAAACCAAATCCAAACAACACACAGAAAAAAAAAAAAAAAGAAAAAAAAAAAACTAAACCAAAACAAAACATGAAAAAGCCCCCAAAATCTAAACCCAGACTGACCAAGGCCAAAACAAGCTTTCATCATGTTTATACTGTCAATATAAAGGCGTGCAGAGACTGCAAACTGTTACAGCTGAAGGTTTCTAGGTAATGGGGCTTCCAAAAAGGGAAATGAAGAGCCCTGTGTCCCTACACACATTTTTCTTAGCTCAGTATTGAAAAATGTTAGTACCTCCTCATGACTTCATCAAGACTAAGGCCTTATGCCTTCGTGGACTAAACACAAATTACATGGAACTGTAAATGGGTGTCACTTCAGAGCAGACACATTTATATTCAGAGAGGAATCAAACAGCTTTAAAACCCTCTACAATTTTAAGAACACTTTATACTACATAGCATGTTTAACCAAGCCCATGAGAATGACTGACATGTAACTGAGGATTCTTCTGCTGAATGTGCAGCAAAATAGATCCTCAGGTTCATCACATCACAGTATCTTAGCACTACAAGTAACACGACTGGAGAAACTACAGTGAAAATGAGTGCTATATCATGTATGCATTTTATGCACGCTTGTTTTCTTGTACACCCACACTGTTCTAGCAGCTTCACCAGGCCTGTACTGGCTTAAAATAGCCGATGATTTGCTCCATTAATAAATCTGTCATTAAAAACGGTAGCTTGTAGCTCTTTTCTAGAGAACAAAGCAACAGCTACATCATTTCAATTTTGAGAAGTTAACAGAATAAAGGCACAAAGCTAATTAGATAAACATCTTGAAAAAGCATGAAATAAAAATTGCAAGTATGGAAAGTCAATTTGATAATTTTCAGCACAGGATTTATTTTATTACTGTTGGATTCTGAAGCCTTAACAGCAGAGGTTTGTAATACGTACATGAAATTGCTTACTATGATACTACTGGGAGCTGCTATATAGTTTTTCTCTTGCTTATGCATGTTATTACCAAAAAATGTTATTAATCTACAGCATCGTTGCCTAAAATAATTACTATGTTATGCAAAACATGCAAGTTAATTGGAAAATAATTGTCCCATTCTCACGAAAACAGGCATGCATATATCCCAATTCAGAAGAGACCAAATCTCATAAAAAGACATGTTGCAATTGTAACTTGAATTTTCTAATTGCATTACATTCTTAACAGAGCATCAGTAGAACAGATGCTTTATCATCCACAGACAAAACTGTCATACATTCTTATATCAGTGACTTAGCTTGCCAAGAAATTACACAGAAACTTGATTAGTTTTTTCCTTTACAAAAATTAATTTTATTCAAACATAATTACTACATCAATGCTCAAACTTAGTTTTTGTAAAAGCTTTCTTGAAAGCCAGCCGCCTACTAGGCTGAGTGTAACAGTATCTTTTTGCTTACTTAAATGTAGAAAAGATATCAATTCTTAAAAAAATATTCAGAAAGCTCAATTTTTTAGTAATGCTGCTGTGTTGTCTTCTTCTAGAGCTAAAATAAAAATTACTTTCACTGCTTAATATTCTGTTATCTTTTAGAAAAATAAATTTACTATCTCTTCTTTTTTTGGATTCTCACATTGGAGTTCTCATAATGGAATTCAAGGCCGAGATAAGCTATGTGAGGGGAAGAAAACCATCCTGAAGTAAATAAATACTCAGCATGTTCATACATTGGACTTTGCAAGTCCTCATAACCTGTCCAATCCTGACAGCATTACAGTCCACGCTGATGCTCAGTACTGGTGGGTTTGGACTACTTCAAGAACATCTGTTACATGATGTCTAAAAACCAGCCTGTATATCAGGTTGCCTGATAGAACCTGAGAGGCTTTTTCATTAAAAAGGCAGAAGGAAGAACTTAAATATTTTTTTAATATATCTAACTGTTTTACTCAAAGATATATCTTTCTTTTTTCATGCTCACAAAATGTACCAGCTAGGCGCTTATGTAATTTATCAGTTCTAACCCCCACAGAATTACATCACTTACCTTTAAGAAAGTTTGACGGTATATATTTGAACTCACTAAAAAAAAATTGTGGATTTCTCTCAAAATATATTGGATGATTAACGTGCAAAAAGAAGTTGCAGGATCCAGGCCTATATTTAAGCTAGTAGATTTAAATGTATTTTCTCTGTTTAAAAATGGCCTTAGTCCCTTGGAAAGAAGAAAAGTATCAGACTGATAATCCCCTACTTCATTTATTTGAATACCAGTTCAGAATACACTAAGAAAATGAGAGTTCATGGAAGACATTCCAACAAAGTCTAAGTGAAGCAATGACAATGTAGTTTCTAGGTATGAAAACGCATGTGAAGCTAAAAGGAAAAAAGGCACTTTTATACAAAGAACTTTGCTCTATTAAAATGACATAAAAATGAAAATATAAAAAATAATTAGAAAATTATTTTATTCATTTTAAATTGACATGATCCTCTTGGACTGCACACTAGGTCTGGCCTAGTATAAACTTTGACCTTATGAATTCATCAAGTTTTTCTAACTTGATATATTATATATCTATTAGAAGAATATTTATTTATTTACACTTAATATGCCAAAACATGAGGAAAGGTTAGTATTTTATATGCTTTTATTACACTATTCCAATCTGTCTCACAAAAGAACCTCTCAAACCAAACATGACCAGAGAAATGTAAATGTACAAAAAACTGAGTTAAAAGGTCTGAATTATAGTTACTGTGGTAAATTCATCAATTGTGCATTTCCTTTCATGAACTTTATGTTTCCATTTGAACATATCTAAAAAGAGGAAACTTTTTTTTCCCCCCACTCTATTGTACTACTGTGAAAAAGAAAAAGGGATATAAATGAGTTTTACAAGTTTAAGAAACTCCATGCTTCTTTTTAATGAGTAAAAAAAATTCACAGGTCACGCCATAATGACCTAGAATCTCAACTATTATCATCATCACAAGAATCTGTGTACAGCATCTAACATTATTATTTCTGGAAACATTATCTGTGCTTAGGAGGGGAAATAAAAAAATGTTCTAGTATTAAGGATGCACTCTGCAGGGTACAGCTTGAATAAAGGTGTCCATCTGCCTTCTGAGAAAAAGCATTTATGGATGATACTGAAGAATTACAAAGCTTCTGGTGGCAAGCTCAAGTAATACAAAAACTAAACAAATACATCCAAGCTCTACCGCATCTTGGTGCATTTATCAAAGCTAGGAGGAAAAACAATTAGGACAGAGTTTCTTCAAAAGAAAACTATCATTAAAGATGAAAGGCTAGCTATAGTTGAAAATAAAGGAAGGAGTGGGAGAAGAATATTCTATTTCTTTTTAAAAACAATAAATAATATACATATGAAGCATAGGAACTACCCCAGAAAAAGATATACCATGGGCAAATATTGTAAACTTGAGGAAAAACTATCAAAGAGACTGAAGGAAACATAATGAGAATTTCTTTGAAAACAAGTTCAATAGACTGGGTGAAGTTCAATGGAACATCAATATTTATAGAGGTTCCAGAAAAACAAAACAAAACAAAACATAAAGCCCAGCAAAGATACAAGCCTAATTTATTTCCTTGAAGAAAAACATTAATAACAGAACATAGACTTATGTTGGTAGGCATATGACTTGGACTCGGTTTTTATATAATAAATGGCTTTAAATGGTTCATTTTTCCACCACAGATCCATAGGGTCTAGTTAAAGTGAAGTCTCCAGGGATGGATACTCCTGTTTTAGGGGCTTTAATGGAAACTCTCATTTGGTGTCTCTGGCACTACTACGAATAAAAGAAAGTAGATCTCCTCTTAGCCTGAAATCTTGAAACACAGGCATGTGGAAACATCATCCTTTGAAGGAAGTGACTCAAAAAGTGATTCTTTCTCCTTTAAAATTTGCCAAACCCACAAAGTCTGTCACGTGAACAGAAACACATCAAGAGAAGCAAAATTCTTAAAATTAAAATTTTGGAAATACCAAAAGGAGATTTTAAGCTCTTTCAGGAAGGTGTTGGATAGGATCCTGAACCTGGCTGAGTCTAGAACACAGGTATTAAATTACTGTATAGACCCAAGCGAAACATTGATGTCTACTAATGTTCGATTCCAGAAAAACTGATGAGTTTTTTTTCTGAATGTTTCTATCAGTATTATTTATCTCAAGTTAAAGTAAATTCCAAATAAAAGAAAACCATAACACAGTCACATTTAATTACTGAATGCATTCTCTAACAATAAAACAGGAACAGTTATAAACATGATTCTAAATGCTGCACTAATAGTAATCAGCACTGAAATTCAAGGTACCAATTCAAACACCGTGTGAAGATGTGCTGAAATATCTCTATTCAGGTCATCATTTAAGCATTGGCTCAAGTGCTTTCATAAACTGGATCCTGCATATTTAGTCACATAAGTAGTTAGTGTTGTCATCAGTTACTCAGAATTACAAGACAGGTAAGAATCTCAGAAATGGGGATAACAGGTTAGGTGTCTTACCAGCAGTAGTCCAGAAGATGTGGAGGAAGCACTGGGATGTAAATATGTTGCCAATACATTGGATATAATAATGCAGCTGACGCATGAACACAAGCAGTTAACTAAAAATAAAAATACACAGAATTGGCAATAAAAAAATATGAGTAAAAAAGAAAATATAAAATCTTAAATTAACTTTCAGACATTTAAGAATCTTAACCTTCCCAAACCACCTTTTATAGCATTTTTTAATTACTACTAATTGGTTAAACACATCTATGAAGAACTCTGATATAAGTATACAGGTACAACATATGCAAGTAGTTAGGCTAACAAGACAATTAAAAGTTAGCCCTGTTCATCTATTTCCTTGAAAAAAAGGAAAATAAACATGCACTACTCAATGTTTATCGCAGTCAAACGTGGGTACTGCCATGAACAGACAGAACTTGAGTGCACCCCAGCTGCACTCGGATCCACTGAGCAGGAAAGACTCCGAGATTATTTTTGGCCCACATTTCTGCTGTTTGAAACAACTGGAATTGATCTGAAACTGCATGAAGCTGCAGAAGAGCACTGAACTCGGGAGCAGGATTAACTCCCATTTGTGTCACTATCTTGATTTCCAAACTACCTTTAAAAAGATCTGAAGTCAATACCCACTGTGACAGCAAAGCAACTCTATTACAGTTTTCCACAACTCCCTTCCCAAAGCAGAGACTGGAAAGTCTGGCACTAGCATCACCAGAAAATGAAGGACTCCTCAACCAAGGAAGGAGGTGTTATGATCTGATTACCATTCAAAATGGGCATCTTTTTTTTTTTTTTTTTTTTCCTTTGAAACAAACAAACAAATTAAAAAAAACTCAAAATAAAAAAATAAGGCAATAAAAAGGAAAACCAAAAAGTAAAAAACACTCACTCCCTCCCCCCAAAAAATTTATGGAATTTATTAGAAATGTGGTCAAGTTCACCTCCCAAAAGAACAAAATAATCTCCAACACATAAAGAATTCAAATTTGATCTATCAAATACTACGTTGCTATCAGGGAGTCACTCAAATGTATTCATTTTATTACATAGCCACTGAGTTAACAACAGAATGAGAAAACATCAAGACTGTGTTAAACATGAGGTAGCCTATATCCAGTACATAAAAACACTACAAGCATCACTGCCCCCCCCAAAAAATGTAAAAAGGGAATGCCCCACATAGAAGACACCAAGCTTATGGAAAAAGACAAGACTGTCCTAATGTTTTATATCACAACAAAATTACTATCTGAGGTTAACTTGATAATAGTGCTGTTTATGAGACATGTACTTTTACAGTAAGAAAATGAAGAGCTAAAAATAAGATGTAAATCCTGTCCATACAGCAAGTGCTAAAACATTATGGATTTTACAGGAAAAAAAATACCTCTTTGTGGAACAGATCAGCAGTTAAAGCTTTCACACTCTGGCTGTCTTAGACATTTAGACTTGTAAATAAAAATTATACTGCAATTTCATACATGTATTTTCAGACTAAAAATTAAAAAAGTAATTATAAGACCATTGCAGCAAAAGTCACGGACAATTACAATTTGTGCAGCATAGTTTGCTTAGCACTCAGATTAATATAACACGATTAAATATGGAAAAGAAGAAGGTCTGAAAGCTCCTGAGGGATATCATTAGGGCAAATTGCCAAAGAATGAAACATGAGCCAGTCAGGAGAGTCTGGAAGCTGTAGTAGTACCAAGGGACTTGAATGTTCGACAGTTGGAGCTTCAGTAATGTGTGAACTGCAGGTTAAGGTATCAGGAGACTCTGTTCACTGACACACAGAATGTCACTATTGACCAGCGAACTGCCCAAGCCTGACAGCTACACTACAGAAAGCCAAGTATATCATAATTCCGTATTTAAACTCTTCGTTTCAGATTAACATCTCATTTCTTAGTTTTACATCAAACCTCCGCAATTACTCTCATTTCAGACTTACAATAATGGCTATTTTTAATAGTCACTGTGTTGGTACTAAGAATTAATTGATTTGGGGGAAGAAATAAATGAGTATCTTATCCCTCTTCTACACAGTGGGATTTGAGTTTTATTTCCATATTATCTCTCTCTGTAGCTTAACTAACACTGCTGATAGCGCAGTCAAGCTCAGCATCATGCTTTTTACTCTTTTACTCAAAATGGATATGGAATTACTAATTAGTATGTCCACATACTATTGTACGTAGTACATAAATTTCAAACTGCAACCACCTATATAAAAATTAGCATTCCATATATTTCAATCACAGATTGAAATAAAGCTAAGCATACAGTTATACAGGATATCCCCGGATGTATACAGCCGCCTCCTCCTCTTAATAGGCATTCTTAAATTATAAATTAAGATGACTATACTATTTGCATAAAGAAATATTTTTCCTATATTATGCCTATGTCTGTGTTATATTTTAGTTCTCGCTTTAACAGAGGAAGTGGATAATTCCTTAAAAACATTTGAAGTTTTATTAACTGTTTTACAATCTATATTTTGGTGTGGCACTCAGACTGGCATCTATATAACCTTTTTGAATCTTAAAAAATTTACTAAATTTTATCATTTCTAGCAGGGAAGATGAAGATCTGATTACTCACACATCAAGGTTTTGCTGTACTAGTCCTTGCTTTTCTATTTAATAACATCTTAATGTAACATCTTACTTATATATTTCTATCTATGCTGCTGCAGTAGGTTTCCTGTTGTATACAGCCTGTAATACAAGCAGCTATGGGATTCTGCTGCTCTTCAAACTGTGTGACATTTCAATACTGTGCCAACTCTGCCTTTAAGCAAATACTGATACTTATGAATTTCATATTAAAAATTGCACCCTTTCTGGAAAATTCTCTTTTCGCCTTTTTTACTGCTGCAAGAGTGACTGCATTTCTCAAATGCATTAGGTACTTTAACTTACCTCTTTGACATATTCACTCTAAATTGAATGGGGACTACTGCAAACTTTGGAATAATGCTGCATGTCTTAAGTAACCAGACAGCTGAAGACATCTGAAAAGCATTCAGAGACCAAGTAGTGCCTGACTGCTTACATAAGAACTCAGAGGTCTAGAAGGGCAACACTGGATTTGGGGGTGCATCTGATAGCACCTGTGGTTGGGAGTGGGGCCAGCCAGAGCCCCGGCAGGCAGCCTGCTGAACACTGAAGGAGGAGACAATAAAGCAGAGAGCGCAGCACGAGCTCTGAGGTACAGAAATGAGCATCTGTTGCTTGACCAAGTGGTGAGATCTTTTGCAGAAAACAATTCTTTACACTATTTAAGGAAAAAGACACTTGTATGGAGCATGTCTGTTGATTGGTATCTATTCCAAAAGGAACAATCAAAATCCATCTTTTTTAAAAAAAAAAAAAAAAGTAAAAAGAGAAATGTCATAGATCAGGAAAATCTCTTTTTCAAGACAGGTAGTTGTTATCCTAAATTATCTTGAAGTTGCCTTCAAGGCTCTGTACAACCTTACCTATTTTGCAACAGCGACAACTGGAGGTTACATCAACTGTGAACTGAGCCCCTTTACAGACAAGCTTGTATACACAAGGTGAGAGCATCTGTCCAATAAAATTTGCTATATATTTATGCATAACACACATGTATCATTGCTCAACTCTGCCGATTGCTAAAATATCTTAATTTACAGCAGAATAGTGCTGCAGAACCTAGTTACTGCAAATCTGATAGTTTATTACGTGTTTGGAGGCAAAAAATGTTGTTGTGACATCCTTCTGTAGTCCACTGCACTGGAAAAGACCTACCAGACTTGTGTTTCATATCCATAATAAAATGGGCAGGCAGTTTACTGAGTACAAATGAAAGTTTCAGTATGTTTCTGATCTCTTCTGATCAGCACTCAGCATGACCATATAAGCTTTCATCACTCTGCAAGGAAAGAATGTGGTATTTCTCCAGAGTTTTGTAGTGATTCTGGTAAAATAATTTTATCTTTGTCTCCTGAAAAAAAAAAAAATGAAATGCTAGAACTATCTGTCTGGTGATAATACAGTCTCTCCAAATAGTGGGAGATCATGTTACAAAGTTTGTTAGCAAAATTCATTATTGGGCAACAGTAAATTGATTGCTACCAAATCCCTACAAGACTGAAATAACGCACAAATTCGAGAGAATAATGAGTTACTTTCCACCTTATGGCAATAAGCCGCCACTTGGGAAGACTGTTGTTCAAAATCTACATACTGCTGAACAGGAATGGTCACAAAAAGTTTTAGTTCAAGAGTTGATCAAAGCAGGTTTACCTGCTTCTGGGAACCTGAAGAGTGCAGCTCCTCCCTATCCCTCACATGGATTCAGTAATTCTGATGTGTGTCTCTGCTACTCCAATACTCACTTCTATCAATGAACCTTTCTACCCTGGATTTCAAAGGGACTTGCCCCTTTTTCTTTTCCTTTTTTTTTTCCCCCCCTAATTTTAGTTTTCGCTAAAATGCTGTGACACATCTAAAGCCATACTATTTCAGCTGAGAGATTTTCTGCAGACTCACATATTATGCTTATTTGATACTTATTGTTCACATAATTTCAAAGAGTAATGTGAAAATAATTATTCTTTATCCTGCACAAAACTTACCTAGCAGTTACTTTCTATCTATAGAAATTATTTTCTTCAAAGCCTTTTCTATAAACAATGGTAAAAAGAAAGGCAGAGCATAGGTGGCAAGATTTGCACACACCACAATGCACAAACTAGAAAGACAGAAACTGATTAGCAGACTCTTGTCAGAAAGCCAAAAACAGAAGCAGAAGTTAGACAAAATGCTAAAGTAAAATCAACCTGTGATACCATACAACCTTTCAAAATCTACTGTAAGCAACTAAAGAACTATTGTGATAAAACCATTTCCTGAAAACCCTCAAACACTGTCAATCTCTGTCAACACCATGTCCAGAAATGGGTACTGGTGTGCTCTCTCCCCCCTCCCTCACAGTCCCATTGGGCCAAAGAACTGCTTCCCTCCCACTGCCTTGACCACACATATGTTGAAAGATGCCAAAGATTCTGCTTTGTTATCTCATTTACTTATTAATACCTATAGCAATAAGTTGTAGG